CAGTGTAGTACTGGGTGGGTGTTGCATTGTCACAGGTGCGACCTTTCAAATGAGGTATTAAACCGAGGTTCCGTCTCACTGTTTCGATTGACATTAAAGATCTCTTGGCATTTTTTTGAAAAGAGAAGGGAGTTTCTCCTGGTGTTCAAGCCAACAATCCCACAGATAAATTTGGTCCTTCACACCATGGTTGTTGTGGAACATATTTGCCTCAAATTAGCTGCTCCACTCACCTACAACACTGTCAGTCACTCCACTTTACAGTACATCCTGTAAAGCATGTTGAGAACTTCTCGCCAACATAACAAGGAGCTGTAACAAATGCAAGGATTGTTATTTATTATTATCCCATTTATACTATCATTTAAAAACTGGAGAGAGTCCCTTTTCTTGTTTGATAGTATTAACACCTCAGACATTTACAGATTGAACGGGATTCCAGCAGAGCTTTGACCATTGAGAAAATATGTTCAAATCTGCTTCAGGATGGAAACTGAAATCATTCTGGACTGCCTGCACCAGGAGATAGCATCGGCCTGAGTTTACGTATTTTTAGTAAACTGGGTATTAATATTAGATTGCTATTCGGAAGCTGTCTGTGATACCGAAATTACAACTTAAAGTGAACCAGGATAATTTTAATAATGAGGAGACTTCCTGTAACAATAACTCTTTGCTCACAGCGAATAATGTTTCATGATCAGTACAAAGTAAGAGTTACTGAGCTGTGAACTCTGAATGGCATTTCACAAAGCAGATTGTAGCAGATTGAGTATTTTCAAATCACAGTACCTTTGACATTATTTCCAAAGTTGTACTGAGAACAGGAACAGTGAAGAAAAATCAATGGCTGTTAAATTTGAATACCGCACTTGATATAAACAAAAAAATAATTAGTCATACCTAAATTTATACCTGAGAAAAACACTTTACAGCTGAATTCAGCACCTCTATTAGCTAACAGATTACATTAATGAAAGGCACTACAGACTTTGTATTAGCTGTTCCTATTGGTGAACAGCAGCTAGGTTGCTGTTGCCAATACACCCACGGCTGCATGATCATTTTACCTTTTCTCTTGACAATGAATAAAGAAAGTAAATATTGAAATGTCAGCCCAGATAGCATGGTTGTGGTGACGTGTCAATTAGCCTGTGTTTTAGAGAAAAGGGAATGGCTGGGGGGGGAAGAAATCAGCCAGGATTTCCTGCCTCTGAGTGACTATGCTGAAATAAATGTGTGTGTGTGGGCATCAAGTGAGGACAGGATCAGGTTTAGCTGTCATCACTCCCACGGTCAAATAGCTCGCTGACACCTGCTGTCTATTCTCACAACTGAAGAACAGCCAATGGGTCAAGCTATCAGTGGGCGGCTGGTGTCTGTTGAATTATACCCTGGTACGAGTCAACGTTTTTCGGGAGAAGAAAAGATATTTCAGATCATCAGACTTCACGTGATGCAACTGACATTTTATGGTAATCACCATTGCTTTTTTTATGAACATCATGTGAGATTCCAACTGGTAATGTTGAAGGGGACAGCAAAAGAGAAAAATCCCTTTATATCTTACCCCAGGCAAATTGAACCACTTCACCCCCATGCTGATCAGAACAAAAGAACACAAGTCTCTGAATCAACAAAGACAGAGTCTCTTCAGAAAACAATGTCCCAGAAACTGGTCAATGCCCACAAATGGTCAATAACAAAAGCAAAAGACTCTGAAACATAATGAGCCTGCAATAAGAAGTCAATCGCTCCATCAAACTCATCCACATTTTCCTGGATTTCTCAATTGACGGATCAAAAAGTTGGTTAGTCTTCAATTGGATGAAAAGTTCAGCAAGGAAACATGACCTATATATGCCCAAGTATTCCCAGAGTTGAGGGTTTCTGACTTTAAAGCAGTTTTTTATGCACGAGACAGAAACTTACCTGCTAAAATCATCACAGGAAAGGTACTGAATAACACAGCCTAAACAGCATAAACTAATCAACTCCCAACAGAAATTATGTCCTACGTGAACAGAAAAACACTGAATTGATATAAATGAGTGTAGTCCAATCCAACTACTGTGGTACGAAATACATTAGGATACTAATACAGTTGGATTTTGTGCTATTGTTCCTTACCTAATTTTAATTGGAATAAAAGAGAACATCAAAAATCATACTTACAAAGTTGACCAAAAATATAAAAATGCTTTGAGTAAAATTACATTTCACATAAACAAACTATTTTATTCCACCGAGTACACCACTCACACAGAGACCTGCATTTTTGTATTCAATTGGTTACTGTTTTCAATCAGTTATAAAATACAATGAGAAGGTTTTCCACTTAGGTGACATCAGTTATTAAGTGCTTTGGAGAGGTAGTTAACAGCGTTTTGTTATTGCGGTTATGTCAGGAGATTACCTACCACATAAACAGGATCACTGTATTTTAATGAAAATGTTTTTAATATATTTTTGAGCATTGCTGTGTAAACTAGTAACAAGGATATTTTTAATCTGAATAAATCTGATGATAATAGATATAAATAAAAACAATTGCGTATTTTCCCTGTTGCTTTTAATTTACTTTGAAGGCACATGTGAATTATATCGCAACATTAGATCTACTGTGTGTCAACTTGGCTCGGTAGAACTCCGACCTCATCAGGACTTGAGTTCTTAATGTAATACTCCAGTCTAATACTGGGGTCTGTGACATTGTCGGAGATTGGCTGAGATGTGAAACTGTGGTCCAATTTTCATATTGAGGTGAATGTTAAAGATCTCATGTCACAATTTGAAAGAGAAGGAAGTTCTTCTGGTGTTCTGGCATCAATTGTCCAGATTAATTGATCATTGACCTCACTGAACTTTCTGGAACCTTGCTGCCACAAAAGGAAGTCTTGTTTGCTTTCAAAAACCTTCTACATATGTCACAGTCCCAGCCTATGTGGGAAGAGAGCGTGGCTGGTTGCTGCCTGTGAACCAGCACATCTTCTAAGGATGTGTTGAATTATTCTTTTCTTTCTATTGTATTTCCATTTAATGTAGCTAGCTCCGTTGCTTATTTCACCTTTATAATCTGTTTCATGAAGTTTCCCATCTTTGAAAAACACTTCAATATTCAAATACAGACAATCGCTCGATGGAGGATGCAGCAGTAGGAATTTCTTGATTGACATAGAATTCAAGGGAAATATCATCTCTCTGACTATAACCGAGGAGAAGTTGTTGAAATACAATTCAGTTTACAGTGAAATCTGCTTTAAGAAAGGAAAAGATTGAAACTCCAGCTTTGAACATAGGGTCTGTTACATTTTGCAAAAAAAAGTGAGAATAGTCAGAATGAAGTTAGAAGTACTTACACTGTTTTTGTTTTATGTTTTATTTGTCATATGCATTTGTGTCTACAAACAAAAAAAATCAGTTTTAAACCATCATTAGTCTGCCTCTTTTATTGGTTTGCTATAAAGACTGCAAAGGGTACTACACTTCCTGAAATAACTTTTTGCTTGATCAGCTGGGAGTCACTACAGTTAAAGAGTATCCAAATTGAGAATTCTACACGCATGGAAATTTCCCTTTGTCTGGAGTGCAGATTCTGTCCTCGAGGTGTACACCCTGCTCACCTAATCCTGGAAAGTATTAGGCGCAGAGGATCGACTACATTCCAAAATGCCTTTCCCAGGCAAGCCAACTTAGAGACAGCCCATCCCAAAGAGATCCCTCATACCAACCCCCCCACCTATACTCCTCATTTATTATTGTCAAATGTTCATCTATTATTATTAGACATCTGACAAGTGTGGGGTTTAGGTCTCATTAGGTTCTAGAAATTCCTTGTGAGCCTCTTGGTGAGCAGCACAACTCAGTATAAAAAGTTCTCAATCCAGTCTGTGACTAAATTCTTAAAGATATTGGGCAAAGTAATAACAATCCTTGCATTTGATATACCACTTTAACATGTGATTGAGAGGTTTCAAAGCACTTCACATGAATATATTCTAGAGTGTGTATTTTGTGGGCAATGGAAAGAATACAGAGTAGATTTATGAGGATGAGGCCAGTGCTGACAGGTTACTGGTTGGGTTAGGTCATTTTTTGCTAGAGACCTCATAGAGGTGTTTAAAATTATCAAAGGGTTTGATAAGGTTAGCAAAAATAGACTGTTTAGACTGGTTGGGGAATCCGCAACCAGGGGACACAAATATAGGATAGCGACTGGGGGATCTAAAACAGAATTTAAGAGGAATTACTTCATGCAGAGGGCAATGAGATTGTGGAAATAAGTTCACCACTGAGATGTCTTTTTTCAAGGCTGAAGAGCCCTAGCTTATTGTTCATTCCTCTGAAAAAAAGGAACTCGTCCATGTTGCTCTCCTCCTGTGCATTGTCTGCAGGGTTTTGCCAGTACCTTTATATTGCAGTGACCAGAGCTTCACACAGTGCTCCAGGTGTGGCCTGACTATAACACCACATGACATCTGGGAATCTGAATTGAACTGATTTGGCAATACAGCCCTGCATCCTGTTTGCCTCATTCAATAATGCCTCACACTGTTTTGATATGGAGAGCAATGGGTCAACTAATACCCCTAGATCTCTTTCAGCTTTCCCGGGCAAGTTCATGTGCCTATTTTTACTGCATATTTAAAGGTCCTTGCATTTTGTCTGAACTTCATTTGTCAGTGATTAGCTCAGGTGCATTCTAGTTTGATATTTGTAACATTGCTGCCAATTCTATGTATCTAACCTTGAAAGAAAGGTTCAGGGCTTGCTTTACATTGTTCATGAAATGTAGCAATCTTTTTGTTGTGCTGTATAATATGCTACAGATATTGTGTTAAGAAATTATTGTGCAATTGAGGAACCAGCACCACAACTGAGGATGAGCCACTGGTCAAGTTTGGAAAAATCTTACCAATCCAGTTCTTTTCATAAAATTGTCACCATTTATTCTAAAAAGTACTCAACAATAATTAAGATGCAGTTCTTCCCTCAGAATGTTTTTCATTTTGCTGCCATCACAATAACTTCTCTTTGTATGTTGTTCCATCAATGATCCATCACCTTTTTAAAGAACGCAAACATTTACAATGCAATAAACTGTGCATGATTTTGACTGCCATGAAGGTTCAGTGGTGTAAGCAATCACTGCACTGTGTTCATGCACCGTGAACTTCTCTTTGGCTATTGTGGAAGTATCTGACAGTGTACAATGCTTGTTGAAGGAGTAGTACTATGGGCACTTTACCAAAAGAAAAGCTGGGGTGGTACAGAATGTCCACTGCCCTTATCTTCTACCGACCCTAAGACTCCATAATCAAAGAAAAAGCTCTAATTGTCTATGTTACTTATCCAGATCTACCTGAACAGGTGATTTAAGTGTGTTGATATACTATGCCACCAGGAGTAGCAATCTGTTACACAAACTCCACTGATCTCAAATGCAGGACTGAGGAACATTGATATTTCTGAGCCTCTCTGGCATGTTTCACCGCAACAGTTCTCCAACAGGGTAAAAACTAGTTCCAACTGCTTCTGGAAGTCAGAGCCTAATACAACAGCAGAGGGAACTTTTCTAGGAGATGCTTTTACTCAGTCAATGGAATGCATAATGCATAATAGTCTATTGCAGACTACCAATGGTCCCCAACTTTACTTATTTGGGAGATGGCATTACATGCCTTCTCCTTACTGTCCAGTCCACCTCCTGGAGTCTTAAGAATTTTGAAAGGTAGCACTTGAATATGGCTCTTGTGCAGTACTTAGTCTCCTTTTTGAAAGTGCGATCCTGACCCTCATGCTCCTCACTTTCAATTATCAACCCCCTGAGCTGCCCTTTGTCATCTGCTCCCCCAGCTTCCCCCATGCCTGGTGACTCATCCAGTGCTTAACACTAGTTACATGTCCCCAGGTGCATGTTTCTGGCCTGGTGTTTGTTTGAAGTGCGACGGTCATTGTTTTGTCCTCAAATTCAAGCCTCTACTGGGGTTGCCTTGTACTGTGGAGAGAGTAGAAGGAGAATTATCAGTAAAAATGCATATGGTATGCATTTCCATACTAGAAAATATTGCTAGCTTATCATGTCACAACACACTAATCCCATTTATGGGTGCAATGCAAAACTTGTGTATAACACAGTCTGTGGAGATGTAAATATATTTAGGAGCATAGATTGACATACTGATAAATTACCTACCACTAAGAGCTGTTCTTGGATTCAAAATCATCACCTTCCACTCCTTCAACACTCTCCCTGACAAATAAATGTTGATTCATATCGATATCTGAGGGTTGTGGTGGTCAACAGCTTTTGCTTGGATATTATCCTTCAGGATCATGCTGAGAAAAGACATAAGGCATTTTGATGATTCTTGTCTCTCTTCAATGATAGTAAAGCCTCAGTGCAGGTTAAGTTTGTGGTGTATAAGACATGTGTCCAAACAGTTCTCCTTCATGATTCCAAGCTCCTGTGTACATGCAATTGTGGGACTTCCTTCAATCCACTAGTGAAGCCAAGGACCAAATGGGGAGATGGATTTGTGGTTAAGGAGGAAGCAGGTGTTGAAAAAAAGGATCTGGTTTACATCTGGACATGTCTCTATGCAAAGCCCCCCCCCCCCCATGTGAGGATCTGGATTAAGCAGTTGGTGTTGAGTAAATATGGTATGCTTAAATAAACCTTCTACCATGGTGAAAGAAGATGTTTGTTAAATGAGGAAACTCTGAGACTTGAGATGACAGGTACTGAAATGAGTTACCTGGGATCTGGGTTTATGAATACACGTATATATTGATGTCTCTGCCCCTTCTCTGATTTGTATACAAAGACTTTCATACCTTCAGGTGGTGGAATTAAGACACAATGGCTAAGGGCGTGTATCAAGACTGTGGGCAGGAGGCTGGTGGAAATGTTCAACATGCAGATTAAAAACAAGTTCATGGTACCTCCTCTCCATGCAGCAAGGGGTGAAATCTATGCTTGTCAGATGTCTAATAACAAGCTAGTGACCATCCTCCTTATGAGGAGGCAAGTCTTTGGGGGCTGAGATGGCTTCAAGGTGATGCACTTGACAATGGAATATCAGTAGACTCTTGGTGGCCTGATACTTGAATCACTGACAGACCAGCAAGCCTTCCTTTTTGACAGAACTTGGATACTTTTTACTTTTAATGAAAGTTTTTCTGACATCATCCATGTAGAAGTAGAACTTCCTCCAGGTTTAAACTATGCACTTCATTTCAGAAATGACACACTACCATAACACTTTGTTGCACACCGTTTCCCTGAGAGTCGGAATCTCACAGACTCTGACACTCGTCTCATGCCACCTGTGATAGTGTGGAGGCTTCCCTTCCCCACCAAAAGGATTTTTCTGTTCCAGGGCACCTACTTCTACAGTCATTAGGAAAATGGTGCATATAGTGATTCTGCAAAATGCATCAACATTTCCTTACTGTACACAAGAATCACCGGCCCTTGTTGACTTTTAAGCCTGGATCAGTTTATTAAGATGCTTCATTAGTGTGACAGCACCTGGATGTGAAAGAGTCTGATGTGGATTCAGCCCCATCCGTAGAGTAGAACTTAAAGTATGAACGCAAAACCATAAATATTACAAGGGACATGAACAAAACGTGCTTTACACCCAGTTTTACCGCAAAACATGTTCCATCATATTTGTACATTTGATCAATTTCACATTTGATTTGTCTTGCAACAGAAAAACACCATTAACCATAGGATTCACACACTAATGTTCATGGGTATAACTTGGTTGAATAACTGATTTGGATTGTATAGCTGATTTTTTGAAAGATAAAAATACTCGTCTCAACTGCCTATTGTGGTCCTGTGCCATACAGACCAATAATATCCCTAGTCTTATTTCAGGTCTCTCCTGAGGTAGCTGATCAACAACAACAACAAATTACATTTTTATAGTGTTTTTCACGTCGGGAAGATGTCCCAAGGTAATGGTCAGGAATTTGGACCAGAACAAGAGGTTGGGATCAAGGGGTTTGGAGGGCAGGGCGGGTGGAGGGTAGAGGGTGGCCGAATGCGCAGTCGAAGAAGAGGATTTTGAGATGTGATTTAAGGAGGAAAGGGAGTGAGCAAGACGAAGGGAGTGAGGGATGGAGTTCCATTGGGTGGAAGCAGAAAGGCTGAAGGCCCGACCGCCGATGGTGGGGCGGGTGGGGCAGGGTCCTGGAGCAGGCCAGAGCCTGCTGAGCAGAGGGAGCAGATAGGTTGATATGGAGTTAGCAGGTCACAGAGGTAGGAAGGAACAAAGCAATGGAAGGCCTTGAAGGTGCCTTGGGACATCCTCCCGACGTGAAAGGCGCTCTATAAATGGAATCTTGTTGTTGTTGTTGGTGGTGGTGGTGGTGGTAGAAAGGACAGTTGATGGTCAAACAAGACACCAAATTCCGGACTGGCTTAGTAAGGTGGAGTGTGAATCGGTGGATGGTGATGCTGTCAGTGCCTGAGGTGTGGAGGCACTGCCGGGAGCCAATCAGGAGAGCCTCGGTCTTGTTGATGTTCAACTGTAGAAAGTTGGCTCTCACCCAGGACTTCATGTCTGACAGACATTCTGTCAGGACAGCAGTGGTCATGGAGTTGAAGGTGGAGGTGGAGAGATATAGTTAGGTGTCATCCGCATACATGTGGAAGTTGACCCCATATCTGCAGATGATTTCACCAAGAGGGAGCATGTACAAGTTGAAGAGGAGAGGACCAAGGAGAGAGCCCTGAGGAACTTCACAAGACAATAGGGGGAGGCTGGAAGAGAAGCCGTTTGTGGAGACAAAGTGGAGACTGTGTGAAAGTTAGGATCTGAACCAGTCAGGGACAGAACCATGAAGATTGAGATGAGAGGAGAGACAGTGGAGGAGGATAGAATGGTCAACTGTGCCAAAGCAGCAAAGAGGTCAAGGAGCACGAGGAGACAGAGGGAGTCCTGGTCACAGATTGACAAGATGTCATTTGTCACTTTAGCCAACGCTGTTTCTGTGCTGTGGGGAGAACGGTAGTCCGATTGGAGGGGTTCATACAGGGAGTGGCAGGAGAGGAAGGAACAAGGTTGGGTAGCAACAATTCATTCAGAATCTTGGAATGGAAAGAGAGTTTGGAGATGGGGCAGTAATTTGAGAGCAGAGATGGGTCCAAGAAAGGTGTTTTGCGGATAGGGGTTATGATGGTTATTTTTAAGGGGTGGGAATGGTGCCACTGGACAAGGAGAAGTTGATTACGTTTGCAAGTAGAGTAGCAAGGAGGTGGAGCTGGGCGATAAAAAGAGGGGTAGGGACGGGGTTGAGGGAGCAGGTGGTGGGTTTCATGTGGGTTATAATTGTGGTGAGGGAAAAACGGGAGACGGGTTCGAAGGTGTGGAGGGAGGAATGGGTAGGAGCCTGGGTGTGAGGGGGAGATGCGGAGGGAAGGGCAGTTGGTAGCGGTTGGAAGGGTAGAGGCGGCTGAGTGGATCCACTCAATTTTCGTCTTTAGGAAGTCCAGCATCTCCTCGCAGTTGGAGTTGGAGAAGAGGATGGGTGAGGCATGAGAGCATGAGCAAAAGAGCCAGTTTGTGGTGGAGAAGAGGAGCCTGGGTTGTCCATGGCCTCCAAGGCTTTATTGTAGAAGGATGATTTAGTGAACAACAAGATTCCATTTATAGAGCGCCTTTCACGTCGGGAGGACGTCCCAAGGCGCTGTACAGTTGGGTCAGGACCCGAGCAGGGGGGAAATGGTCAGGGTGAGGGGAGGGAAGGGAGGGAGCGAGGAGGGGGTAGAGAGTTGAGAGGGGAGCTGAAAGCACAGTCAAAGAGAAAGGTCTTTAGACCGGCCTTGAAGCTAGGAAAGGGAGGAGGCGGCGAAGGCACTGGGGGATAGAGTTCCAGAGCCTAGGGGCTGAGAGGCTGAAGGCCCGGCCACCGATGGTAGGGCGGTTGGGGCGGGGGATGTGGAGCAGACCGGAGCCAGAGGAACGGAGGGTACAGGCAGGTAGGTAGTGGGATAGTAGGTCAGAGAGGTAGGAGGGAGCAAGGCCGTGAATGGCCTTGTAGGTGAGGGTGCGGATCTTGAATTCGATCCTCTGGGGGATGGGGAGCCAGTGGAGGATAGCGAGGGTGGGAGTGAGGACAGAGCTCTAAGTTTTGATGTGGTCCAGCCAGATCGGCGAATGTACCGTTAAATTAGATTTGAGCGGCCTGCACTTGAGCCTTAAGGGAGCGAAGGTGACGGATGACTTGTGTGAGTAGGAGGCAGTTCAGGAGGTGAGGATGGTAAGGGCATCAAGAGAGGCGGAGGTGGAGTTGTAGAGGAAAGTGACCAAGGAGGATAGGTCGGTGCAGGAGGAAACCCAGAAGGGGAGGAGTTCAGATGACTCCAGGGCAGCGGAGATGGAGGGGGTTATTTTTTTCCAGTGACAGTACGAGATGGAGGTGGATTGGGTGGGGGTGGGGAGGAGTTAAAGGAAATTAAGTAATGGTCCGAGATGGCTTTGTTGGTGATGGTGAGGTCTGAGAAGCTGAAGCCCCAGGTAATAACCAGGGCAAGAGGGTGGCCATGAACGTGGGTGGCAGAGTGGATGTGGAAGGAGAGGTGGTAAGATAAGAGGGGTGAGGAGAAGTCAGTGGAGATAGAGCAAGAGATGGTGAAGTGTTCATTGAAGTCGCCTTGGATGAGGAGGCATTCAGAACAGAGGCAGAGGGAAGCTAGGAGGGAGGAGATGTCAAAGACAAAGGTGGGGGAGGGTTTGGGGGGACAATAAACAAGGGGGATTTTTAGGGAAAAATTGAAGGGATGTTAGAGGGTCAGGTGCTCGAAGGAGGGGAATGAACCGGAGGAGTAGAGGGATAGGGCAAGTGAGGACTTGGGAAATGAGCCACATCGCTAGCACGGTGTTTATGTTGTGGGGTATGGTGGAAGGTATAGCCGGGTGTTGTGGCGTCAGTTCAGGGGAAGCTGTCGCCTGGGGTGATCCAGGTTTCTGTGAGGGTCAGGATATCAATGTTTCCATCAACAATGAGGTCGTAGACGGCAAGGGCTTGTTGGAAGGGGAGCAGACATTTTGTAGGGCTAGTTTATCGGGGGTGGTTGGCAGAAGAATGTGCGAGACAAGAGGGGATGGATTGGCAGGGAGGATGGAAATATGGATGAGGGAGGAGAGGTTAGCCCCTAGGGTCTAGGGCCAGTGAGCCTTACGGCAATGATGAGAGATGGGGCAGTCAATGTATCTGCTGCTGGACAGCCAATGGTGAGTGCCACAGTGAGTCTGACGGAGGATTCTCAGTCTGGAGCAGAGGAAGGCTGTGGGATGGTCAAGTGGGGATACAAGGCAACGAGGACGGAGGGAGAGGAGGACAAAGCGAGAGTGATGCAGGGTAGAGGACAGGGATGGGGGCATCTTGGAGCAGTTCGGGTCGTGGGCAGCAGCCGTAACACACACGCCGAGACTGGAGGCAGAGCAATCAGCCTCCAGGCATGGAGACTGCAGGGGGTTAGAGGAGACAGCGCAGAGTGGGGAGAAGGGACAGGGAGATGAAATGTTTCCACCAAAATAAAACAGTTGCTACCAGAAAAATAAACGAGTGCTATAGTCATGTGACTTAAAAAGAATTACATTTAACAGCGATAAAATTAAATTTGCTACATCTATACAAATGTGCTCTTTCCTTTTCACTTTCTCCTGAAAACACTGAAATCACAGATGTTAGTAACTTCAATAGTTAACTGATGGTTTATCATCACATCGGCAATGCTCCCCATTGTTACAATTTGCATTTAACATTCTTGTGTGTAATAATTCTCTAAGTGCAGCACTCATCTCTTCTGATGCCATCTCTAAACTCAACATGCAACCTGCTGGCAGTTTCAGGCATTCACATTATGCAACAAAATTTAAAATAGCATATTGCAGAAATGCTTGGATTCAATTTAAACCCTGAAATGGTGCCTCTTGTTAAATACCATGATATCAATAAACACAATTCCTTTAATTGCAGTGGTGGCACTTTCTTTTAATATAGCTTCTAAATCATTCTAAATATGTTTTAAAAAAAACTGAGCTCAAAAATCACATTCCCTACCTGTACTTCGAAGGTAGTCAAATGAGATTTCTCCGTATCGGCTGTTATGACCTTTAAAAAAGGAATCCACCCAATTAGCAAATAAGTCACAATTTTCCACTAAGTGTTACCAATCAGAAGAATGCAGAGTAAAGCAGTAAATCAGCTCATAGTGAGGTTAATAAACCAACATGCACCAAACCGAGGAAAATACTGTGTGAAAGGCTACAAAAAAGATGCACTTCAGTAAGGCTGAAGGTGTTTTTTATCAACCCAGTTCAAATCTATCAAGATTTTTTCCATTTCTATTTTTGTTTCAAACATTTATAATACCAACTATAGGGGTAATTACATTATGAATATAACTAGCTTTCCAAAGAGGAATGTAAGTGTCATTTGAACTGGAGTCCAAAGTACTCACTGCATTGTTCTTCATGTATTTGCATCATTACAAAATAATTTGCAGTATCCACTCAGCATAAACTCATACCCAAAATATACACAAACAAGTTAGTTATATTTCACTGTTGAACAATGTATTAGATGTTAACAACCTACCAAAGCAATCCATTATGTGGATTGTGGAGTCCTGTAGCTCAGTGGTTGAGCACTCGCTTTGCAAGCTAGAGACCTGAGTTCAATTCCAGGCAGGGCGAAACCTTGGGCAAGTTTCCTTACTCCACACGCCTAATAATAATCCCTCCAAAACCAAAAAACAATAATAAATTGGTCATTTTCAATCCACGACTGTTTGTGGGACATTGCTGTGCGCAATTGGCTGCCGCGTTCGCCCACAAATATACAGTCAATTCACTTTACAGTGTGTTCTGTGAAGCGCTTTGGGAAGTCCTCCCGACGTGAAAAGCGCTATATCAAATGCAAGGATTATTATTATTATTATTATTAAATGTTGTTATGTTAAATTACTTTATTTGCCAGAAACTGGAATCACATGGTAAAGCAATGCTTTGTATTCTAACGTATTACAAATACCAAATCTGGTAAAACAGTGCACTATCAGGTAAAACATCCGACAATTGCTTTAATATTGCTGGATTTCCATGACAGGATGCACCTGCAATTACAGTCCAAATTTGCAAATCTATAAATTGTATATCATATCTCAGCATTACAAGATGCTACCCTGCATGAAGGATACAATATAAATGCAAGTTGTCGTCCTTGTTGTTGTTGATACCATGAGAACATTTGTACAACAAGGAACAGGGGTGATTCTTTCTGGCATGTTAAATGTTGCTGTCCTGACCCACGTAAAGTTTAAGTGCATCTTCTATTCAAAAATGCTCGGGTGGCCATGAACTAGTGAAAAGGGATATACCCCAGCACCATCTTAATGATAACTGTGTGAATCAACAGATGGATATAGAAATGGCACGCAGTGTTATACATCTTATTACAGACACATTTAGTCTTAAAGCAATAATTCTTTGGACATCCCAAAGGGTAAACTGCAATATTATACTATTAAAGTCTATAAAATTATTACTGTATGTTACATTCTGCACAATTTAGACAAAAAAACCTTGCATTTGATATTGTGCCTCATCACGTTTTCGAGATGTCTCAAAGCACTTCACCAAATATACTGTAAAGTGAATTGACTACATATTTTGTGGTCGAAACGCGGCGGCCAATTACATAGCAGTGTCCCACAAACAGTTGTGGATTGAGTAACCAAATAATTATTATTATTTATTTATTTTTGTGAAGGGATTATTACCCCCGAAAAAGCAATCCGCCAATTGACTAACAACCGGGTTCCCATTTAATGCTAGGTAAACAGAGGCATGTGTAGTAAGGAAACTTTCACCCTCCCCGGGAATCGAACCTGGGTCTTCCTGCTTGCAAAGCGAGTGCTCTAATCATTAACCTACAGGACTTAGTGCACAATAGAAACCTCTCTCACACCTTAGTCAAAACTATCAAAGAACAGGAGTGATTCTTTCTGGCCTTATCTCTATAATATGTGCCTTTATTATTTCTACAATCTGCTGGAATAAACTGTGATAGAAGAATGTAAGTATATTTAAGATCAGAAATGGCCATTGCTGTCCAGCTGGCCAAACAAAAATATAAAGTTACACTACTCCATGTCTTACTCTGATGGGCTTGATAATTTGAAAAAATAGTTAGGTAATTGCCTTTAGAATCTACCAACAAAATCACCTCCATTGGCTCCCTAAGTAGTCACACAATCTTTGCATAATTCAATCCATACTGGCTGTTCACCTTCTCTATTCTGAGCTTCAGCCTGTACCGCTTTGTGTAAAAGTTTAGATATCATTTAGATCTATGTTAAACATGTTAAGGTTCAAGTAATTTACAACTTTTAGGATCGTGAATAAGAAATCACCTTGTACAAGCCTTTCTTTGCACAAAACACACTCCAACAATTGTGTGTGATTATAAGAAGTGTTTTTTGTTCCTCAAACACTGGTGTGCTGTGACATTGATTTCTTCTTCTTCGTTCCGAGCCATGGTTTGACCTCAATTGTTTTGCCTCATGCACATTTTGCAGAGTGTGGCTCACTCAGAGTTTCAGAAATGCTCTCAGGTGACCCTGTTCGGCCAACAGATGTCCTGTTTACCAGCTTCATCCAGTATTTGGATGCAAAATACGCAAGCTACACTAAGCGCCCAAGACGCTGCCCTTATTACTAGCAAATGCTGGTACTTGGAAGCATCTGTGCCAAAACACTTTAGCGCCAGTGGTCAAAGACAAGTCTTCTTTAATGTTACACTTTTCCAATGAGAACAGACAGAAGTACATTGGGTAGTGTATCAAACAGAGTAACAGTGTAACAGTGTAACAAATTACTCAGCAATTTAGATCTGCAATTGGAAACAATTATCTCTTTGAGTCTCTTTGAGATGTTTTGATATTATAGCAGGACATCAAATGCAGTGATTATTATTACAATTGTGAAACATAAATAAAATCCTGAGATATAAATAATAATAAAATAGTCCTTGCATTTGATATAGCGCGTTTCACATTGGGAAAGCATCTCAAGCCATTTCACAGGATGTGCTGCAATGTGTATTGACTATGTGTTTTGTGGGTGAATATTCTGAAAGTATCCTTTCAATTCCGAGTACTTATTGAGAATATTTCACATCATTGTATTCAGGTTGAAATCCATTATTGTTGGCATCTAACTGCCAGAAAAAGTACTTTGTGGCCCAAACTGCATCTCCAGCAGGGAAATGCAGGTACGTCAGTCATGCAATCGCAGGTCAGAGCAAGGTCTTGCAGGCTGGGTTGAGATATATGGGGGCATTGCTGGAGACACAGTTTATGCCGCAAGGTGCTTTTTCCAACATCAAATAACATTATTGCTTTCTTGAGGAACAATTTTTCAACCTCCCAAGTGGATATTTTGACATTGGTAACTGCAACAATTCTCTGGTGTAATACCTTAGGATTTGCCACCATTAACAATAATAATAATAATCCTTGCATTTGATTTAGAGCCTTATCATATCTTTGAGATGCCTCAAAGTGCTTCACAGAATACACTGTAAAGTGAATTGACTGTACATTTTGTGGGCGAAACAAGACAGCCAATGGCGCACAGCAGTGTCCCACAGTTGTGGATTGAGTGACCAAATTATTATTATTTATTATTATTATTTTTTTGAAGAGATTATTACCCCCGGAAAAGCGATCTGCCAATCGATTAACAACCCGGTTCCTACTTACTGCCAGGTAAACAGAGGTGTGTGGAGTAAGGAAACGTGCCTAATGTTTTGCCCTGCCAGGAATCAAACCCAGGCAAGTGCTGCAACCAATATGCTACAGGACTCCGCTTTATTAATCCGTACGAACACTATCAGGGTGAAGCATGCCAAGATCAGTTAGATTCATGGATGGTGAAGGTCTTTGCTGACCCCTGTAAAGGTTCTTCCGTTTGTGACCCCTAAACTGCATTTCATCTATTTCCATCACAAATAAAATAACCCCAGTTACATTTGGAGTACAAGTCTCTTATGCCATTGTCTTATGCAGAATTCTCTTGTACAATCTGCTAAAGCTGTAGTTTTCTGTACACTGTCTATGGACTTTGTGCCTGCCCGGACTATTGTTACAAGCTCGGAAAATCCCAGAGTGGGTAGAGAACTGTAGATTTCCAAGATAAATTGTCTTCCAATGTCAATTAACTGCTTCAATTGCTAGATTCAACAATTGAGAAATGGCTACTAGGCACTTGCACCAGTAGAAAATTGAGGTTTATATTTTTAACACATGAATGTGCCATGAAGCTCCAATTTTTCCCTATGGCTAATCAGCCATTATTTTTTCTGACCAGGAGTAAAATATCACCCAGAGATATTTGTAGTTTCTCCAGAGAAACTACAATGATTTTCTCATGGTAAGTCCTCTCAATGGCTGAATGTTTGAGGGAACATTTAAACAGTTTCAAATGCACAAAAAAAGCTATTCAAGCTGATCTTTTCAAGCAGAGGCTAAAAAGACTGAATGCTTTTCAATCATGTCCCACTATAATAACAGTATGCCAATCAAAAAATAAAGCAAACGCATCTATGAATAGCTAAACAATCCTACTTACAGCAGAAAGCTCACAGGGGGCTGAACTTCATAGAAAAGGCACAGGTCAATAAATTTCAGAGGGGGATTAAGAAGGTGTGAGACAGCAGCCAAGAAGATTGTCACCATTGCTGCACTGCATCCAAGTGCACAACTAAAAATGGCTCATGATAGACCTCAATGTGTTCTGATCTCTTTAACAACCTGACAGCAGGAAGCTCTCCAGCATCATTTTAAACACAGAGCCCCGCTAGTTTTTTAATTCAGGAGTCAACGGTTGAGAAAAGCTTTGTAAATGATTCACTTTAACTATCATTTCCCATTAGAACAAATAAAAACCTTAAAAGAGCTACTTTGCTCCACAGAGTAACCTTTGACCCAAATTCTTTCTGTAACAGATGAGAGCTAAATTTACTGTGACAGTGTCTAATCACATTTAGTCTGGTTTGTGATTTGATGGCTCTTGAAGCACATTAACTGCACAGAGAAACAGTTAGACCAT